CCCCCCCCCCTCCCCCCCCACACCCACTCTCTCAATCCCCTGTTGTTACTTTCGCATTATTGTTCAGTTTGTACTAACGTAGAATTTTTCTTCACCAAACGTCTTCCGACAATTTTGAATATTGCTATTACTTTTCATCATTACAATTGTTGCATTTTCAATCATCATGCTTTGCATTTGCATTTATTATAAATAAATAGTACGCCTATCATTGGGGAATATAATGTTTATTATTGTTTCAAATTTCACATTAAATCTCATGAGCATTTTAATATGAGCAACAAAAATTCATTTCATAATCAGTTTGAAAGAATGAGAAAAACCCATAAAATATTAGAGATTGATTGCCTCATCGCCATCACATCGTTGCAGCAATCTGTAGTCCTTAATACTTCAATAATCGAAAGCAATAGGTGCTCACTCTAAGGCGCATTTCGATCTTCATTGAAATACATCAGAATACAAAATCATCAGAATGAGGAAGTTACTTGATGCGTAACAAATGAAAATATACCATTCCGAGTATTATAAAATTCTTGCTGCATGAAATGAGATGAAAGTATGGCTGTTAATGGCCAACTAATGTACGCACACAAATATCCACATGAATGTCGACACATTTTTTGAGGTCATCGATAAGAATATGTTCGTCGGCAGAGTGCGCGTTCGTTATAGAGCCAGCACCAAACAAGAATGCACCTTTCAGTTTATTGCGAGCTATAAAGTATGGCAAATCCGTATTAAACGATACCACACTCGATTCGTACGGTGAAGGTGGCTCTGAAAAACAGAAAAATTTGCAACAGTTGCTTTCCAAAAATCTTCGCACAATTAATTACTATTAGAAATTGAAGAGCATCTTCACTGCTTGATTCTCACATAGTTGTTTCACGAAGATGGTGGCGAGTCTGGCAAGTTATCACTCGACCGAAAACTTATTGACAAAAAAGCACCTGTCAAACGGATCGGTTCGTTTTCTCCATAAGATCGATCAATTTCGGCACGTCCTGCGACGATCTCATTTAGTTGGTGAAGAATATCAGCTGTTGAGGTGGTAACACGGAAAAACATTGAGGCAGATGCATTCTCAGCCAACGCGTTTAGAGCTTGACCACCAGATATGAGACCAATATTTACAGTTGTTTGCCCTTAATTCAGACATCCCTTACACTGTTTCATCACAGTTCTTCGAAAAAGAATGTTGGCACACAAACAGACGACATCTTGATATGTCTGCCGTCTTCTAACCGGAACTCTTTTTGCACTAGCATTTTTTTGCACACATGTTCTACATGTTGTTCATTGAAGAGATCATTACAGTCAAAAATGAATCTTCTTACAAGACCAGATGTCAACGATCTGCTGTGCACTGACGAAATATTGGAAAACAATTCGCGAGCGAATCCAAATAGTCTCAATCTCATTGATCATCGACTTTTCCGAATAACTGCATATTCAAGGGCAGAGAGGCATTAAATTGATAGCGCTCGTAAGTATGCACTATTTAGTCTTACCAAAAAATTCATCAGCAGGCCACTTATGTGATCGAATATCTTGCAGTATATCCAACAGTTTATCGATAGCACTTTCACCCATATGTGGATAGCCAGAATGAGCTGCTTTACCGTGCACTTTAAGAGTAACCTTAACAACAACGGAATGAACTGATAATCATTCTGCAACACTGGAAGATGTCATGAAGGTATTTTCGGTTATGGTTGAATGCAATTGTTTGTTAACAAATTACCAGTACGTTATTAGCTGATAATTTGTATCGTATATTAGAAGAATTTGAAGATTCGATTAATCATCCTTGAATCATTGTATCTATAGCGCACTGCACCATCATGACATGAATGTTTTGAAAAAAATTCATTCAATTGGCATATTCATGCCCAAATGCATACCTTGACGGCTCCTTTCTGTAGACGTCCAAACTTCAGTTCAGTCGGTTCTCCAACCATGAGGTATTCGGGCACTAAACCGAGGCTATTTGCCTCCTAAAATGCAACACTCAAAACCGTCGTATGCAAATCGTTCCTAGTGAGATTATGAATAGGAACAAATAAGGTGCAAAAAGGTGACAAAGTTGTCTTCAATGTACAGTCTTTTCATTTTTTTTCAGTCCCCTTTTTTTCAGTCCCTCGTAATTTTCTGACTGAATATTTTGGAACAAAAAAAAAGTATTCAAAATATTCCAGGTACTCTATTCAAAGCAACTCAACACTCTAACTGAAATCATTTACTTACCATCATACCAATATGATCAACCTCTTCATTAACTACTAACAATAAGCCAACATCGTTTGCCAATTCTTTATATTCGTTTTCTATTCGTCGAATCGCAAACACCATAGCTGCTAGCTGACCTTCAATCACAACAATACAATCACGATTAATTCAATTCTCATAGAGTGATTGTTTTGGTGAAATGTTTATTCTTTTGCTTCTGAAAGGGCGCTTGAGCGGAATATTTTATCAGCGACAAAATGAGCTGAAAAAACTGCATTTCGTCATCAGTTAGTTGAGAATGAGAAACGTGATAAGAAGAAGAACAATTAGAAAGGAAAACCTTTCGCATCGTTCGAGCCTCGTCCTCTAATCGTGAAACCGTCATTAACTGGTTCAATGAATGGTGGCACAGTATCCATGTGTGTGTTCATCACATATCTCGGACCTTCAAATAGAAATCATTTCTGCACTGTACTCTACCTACACTTGCCTGGCCATAAAATGCATCATCGCATTGTCATAAGTCAACTGGATGCAAAATGGCTGCTGAATATATGCGATATAATCCACGTGAACATCTATGTGAAGAAATACTCTCTAATGAGCGATTTATTTTGCATTTTCTTGGTAATGACACAAGCAGGTGACAATCTATCGTGGTCAAAACATATTTATTACCTGGAGCGACGTACGGAACCCTGGTTATCAGCAGATTATGCCTTTTCGGATCACTTTTTAACGGTTGTCGAATAACATACCATCCAATCGATTCAAAGTACCGTGTCAAAGCCACACAAAGTGTCTCTTCAAAATGAACAAAATGCTCGATCTATCACAACACAAAAATTTGATCATCATCACATCAACTTTGTAATCAACTTTTTAGAGTCGAAATTGACGATTGCATTATGATACTGAAGTAAAAGTAAACGCCCAGCTAGTTTGAGGGACCACCCAAATCGAATTGTTCGAATTTCTGAGAAGACAATAGTAACATATGCGAGTTTAAGAGCTTACTGTCCTAATCATTATCAACAATAAATAAAGATAACCACAGGATGTTATCGCGATAGATTACACTTGAGCTTCTGCGCAAGAATAAGTGAATGTTTCTCGGTATAAGCCTGTGCCTAAAGCTAAGTCTAAGTGTATTTCATCGCAATAACATCGTCTGATTAACGCCACTTATCAGCAGTTGAAAGTTTTAGAGAGCTGCGTCGATTCGCTCCCCTCTTCCATTGAGCCACAAGCGAGCAAGTGTTAAATATTTCCTCAGAAATCAGTTTGTGAATTTTGCGTTCATTAACCCTGTTTGTCTTGGTTCACAGGTCAATTAGGTAGAAAATAACAATTGCCTTTGCATAACTTTTTAAATGGTATCAGTTTTGTTTGAACCAGTTAGAGTTATCTTAATTGTTAGATCATTGCCTGAAATGATGCTTAACTCACCCAAGGATTGCTCATGAGGAAAAAGGTTGCGGGAGAAAGCAAAAAAATTGCTAGTTATCAAATAGCAGTTTCAAACACTAAATATTGCTCGACTAACCTTCATTTCTGGATGTTGAATCAATTCGCATAATTTGTGTCAAGAAATTCTCCACATTTTTTTCGTTCGGATCCAATTGTATTGGTTCGGCCATTGAACTCAACTAAAACTGCTCGATTCGTGATCATTATTCTTTCAATTCAGAAGTGACATCTCAAAAAATTTTGCATAAACTCAAACGAAGCACGTGCGTCAGCGAGAAATTTAATCAAATCCAAAAAATTCGACTGTATTTTTTTGAAAGCGGAAGTAATAGTTTTGAAAGGCACATTCGGTCCTCATCAGAAGACTCGTTTTGGAGTGATAGACTGATATGTTGAGCAAGCATTTTTTAAACAAACGGAACTTGTTACAGACAAGTTGCTTTTTCTGTAGAAAAAAAAGAAGCAATGAAACATTAAAATTTTCATGTTCATCACTTATTTTCAGTGTTCTTGTCCAGGCAACATTGTTATTTTTTATAGTTAGGCATGAACCAATGATTTTGCAAATTCAATTATTCATATTCATGTTGTTATTTTTTTCACTCGTTCATTTTCATGCCTTCTGGTTTTTTTTACTTACTATAGTTCACTTTTATCGTTATATATTTTCAACTTGAAAAATGAAAATTGCTTAGTATCGATGAAGTTCTGATAATATGTCTGGCGCATTTTTGACTGCTCCATAATATTACTGTCAATATGCTGTTCTGCAGATAGAAGTCATAAAATGCAGTTTTCTTTATTAGAAAAACAACTATCACGAGCATTCAGTACGTCAAAACTTTATTAATGGCCCAATCCGTCATTACTGCGCAATTGTTCGATGGTTCGGCTCGACGAACAGCTGTCTTGACGAGAAAATTATTAGATGCTTAACATAAACTTAGGTGATAGGCGACATGAACTGCAGTCTTTAAGTGCAACGGCTACTTTGCATTTGGCAAATGTATCTGTTCCAAAATGCTATCAAAAATGAAAGACAATCGAATGGAGACAATAGGGAGATGTAAAAACGGAACGTGAGTGAAAAAAACCAGCGGTGCCAAAAAATAATATTGAAAATGAGTATTGCAGCACAAATAACCTGAAAACATTTCTGTCGATAACTGAGCAAAAAATGAAATGTTAGCGGTAAAGTGACAATCAATTATCAATCTGTTCAGAAAATTAACTGTCTGCTTGAAACAATTTTTTCTACAGAAGAAGAATTATTCTTTGTAAAATATTCTATTACAAAGAAAAACGTTTTGGTTGAAGTCGATTTTGTAGCCTAAGAAAATTATTTCTTTTTGAGGAAAAGAATATTTACAATTCAAAAATATTTACAAGAATTTCAGGATTCATACTTCGAGTATGTGCTCCTAAATCTCAGTCGCACTCAAGTAGACTGACATCAAGCAATGAACAATCAAAATAAGCGGTATAAACATATCAGAAGTGCAGAAAATCAAAACAAGGAATATTCAAGTGGAGTGATGAAGTGCTCATATATCATGCAGTTAAATTATGAATGCAATTATGCATTCGTTATTCATTCACCGAGTTTCATCTGTAGATGACGTTTACAGAAAATCACTGTTTGAGATGTAGGATATTGACATTGTATATTAGCACCGAATTAATCAAACGATCGGAATGGTGCTTGTATCCGAAGTAAACAAGTCGTAATTAAGCATATTAATTGATTCATCTGTGCCAGTAAATTTTTCTTGTTTTTAAGCGATGTGAACTTTTTAACTATGTATGACGCGTTCCACTTTGTGTTCAATTCAAGTCATAACTTTCACACTCGTCACATCAAAGACCATGATGTGAATATGTGAGTTACATCAGAAGTTTTCGCAATAGCACGGTCTTATTACGAAATCGAAGTTCAATGAAAGGAAATCGTTCACAAAAGATAGATGGATTATCCGATTCATAAAATCATATTGATAGATTTTTAGGATGAATGAAAATCAATGAGGATATTTGTACATTCACCGACACGACTGCATAACAAATCGTCAGCAATGTTCAGTGTAGAAGATTTTTTTGGGACGTGAAGATGAGATCAAATCGCTCAACGTTTGCTGAACAAACAATAATTTTATCATAGTATTATTTCAACTGTGAACCAACTAGCAATGCACGCACACTCACTTGCTTAACTTCCCGAAGACAACAGGCGATGAGATGCTATTATCAGCTGATAGCAAACGATTCATTTCGTTATTCTAACAACAACAGTTATCACTTCAAAGCAACCATTCCATTTCACTTGTTGATGCAGCTGTGACAAAAGCATTCAACGAAGCCGAATGAAAAAAATCGAAAAGATTAAATGAACTCAAATGAATGCAATATTAAGCAATTAGCAGCGATGACCAACATGAACGAATAATAAAAATTAATTATCAAGCTTGTGGTTATTCCCTAAAAGCTATTGCTCTACCACTAATATGACTACAATCACCGATTGCTACCGTGAAAGCGTAGCGATCGGTGATACCAATTGCTTTTCTGTAAAATATAAGAAATTTATGCGTATGATGAACGAATGGAAACATGAACAGAACGATGCATACGAAAGGAGTGAAGAAGTGGAATTAATACTTTTTTCAGAAATTTCAGACAATAAAAATTGTTGAGCAAAAATCAAAATGACTAAAATCAAAAAGCAAAAATCAAAATGACATGTAAGATTCTGATCTAATTTCGAGAATATCAAACAATTGCGTGATTACATTCTACGCTTATGAAAGTCAGTAATTTTAGAATTTCTAAGTCAGAACCTGAGACATAGATTAGATTTCACTTCAAAAATCGGTTTTTATTAGCCACTCCCTTCATACACATCGCATTCTCATGAATGATTTTTTCCTTACATTGGCAACAAAAATCAGAGACCATATAGACATCACCACCTCCAAAACCACATTCGACATTTTTGATCTTCAACCGCCACTTTGGATGCGCTACAATTGATCACATCAAGACAAGACGAGAACTTGTTCTTAAATAGACACCGTTTTTAACAGAATACGGCTATCGTTTTATGATATATCATTATTCTGCCAATCGGAATGATATCAACCGCACCGTGATGGCATATTCTTAAAATATTTAAGCCAGAGCTAGTTGAATTCACAAACGTCATTCTCCAACATAGCATTCAAAGATTTCACTAAGAAAATTGAAATGTCCGAAGAATGAATTTCACGCAATTATCGATGCAATCGTATCACAACCCAAACTAATTAAAAGGGGTTATGCGAGTAACATAGGATCCTTTCACCTCGGTTTCTTGAATGAAGTTTCACTTTATTTGAATCATTATGGAAACTTTTTTCGAATTAAGGAAAAATGGGAACTGAAGAAAATGGGAAATGGTATCAAAGCAAAACTGAATTCAAAAAACCCTGAGGACGGATGGCGGTGCTGGAAGAACGGACGAAAGTGTTACAATGGAAGATAAGCGAGCAAAGAATAAAACCAAATAATCATGGTAGAGATAAAATTCGAACGAATAAATGATAGTTGCTCATTCATTTCAGAAAAAAACATTCCTTCACGCTTTTCACAAAGAGCACAAAAGATCGAAATGAAAGCGCATAAAATGCAACTTGTGAAGACGTAAAATTTGGATATATAACGACATAATCGGCTGACATTCAGAGTGTGTTTATAACAACATTGTAATGTATCCATTCTTGATTGCCTAAAGATGTCATCGGTGATAGCATTAATCAATTGCTCGATGACATGAACTTGTGGTCAATATTTTACGTCATTATCTCATTCGTATCAATCACTTCTCTGTGCCATCCAAGTTCATCCGTTTGAATCCGTTGTCTACCTGAACTTATGAACGTTTCAATATCAACTGCACAACCTACTTGACATTCAAGATATGCCTTTTCACCTAGTTGGCTCTATCCTTTTCAAAACCCTGTAAGAATCGTTTTTTGAAGTACGTTCTATTGAGGTTCTTTATCATCTTCCCTTTCCTTTTCGTTCCATCTTTTCAGGTCATCCGCGCACATTTCTCATGATCAGCCGTTCAGAATAACGCAACCTTGACTTTGGGATCTTTCGATATCTTGATGACCTTCATTTCTCGTTACCCAACTCGTTTATCAGTTCTGTCGTGCAATCAATTATTTGCACTTTCGCAGACGTTTCCAGCTTTGTTTGAATAACTGTATCATTAAAAAGTACATCGAATAACCTATCACTATTTCACTTATCGGACCCTCAAATGGACTGTTATTTTACAGTTAATGAGCAAACAGATTTAACACCTTCGCATAGATGTATCGACGATTGGATCATGCATTTCAGCTTTCTCATTTTTTGATTTATGAAGCACGCTATCGAGTATTTGAATACCGAATATGGATTCAAGCAACTGAAGAATGATTTTATAAGACTTCAATGCAAGAAATTCAATGCTAAATTATTTATATTACATGCTACAATTATGTAATGCTACAATTATAATGCAACACTTATATATTTCAAAATTATTGGAATAATTCTGATGAGCTCTGTGCAACATAACTATTCACACTTTAGTGACTTCATGATCGCACAACCTTTCACTCTTTCGGCTGTACAATCGTTGAACGATTAAGATGATTTCATGAACGTTTTATACACGAACGGCGACAGCTCCTCCTGCTAAGGTCCTACTGAATTAAGATAGTAATATAGTTTAAACAAGAGAACAGCTAGTATTCATTTGCATAGTGACAACGATTAATATATCAAATATATAGATAATTTTGTTGTTTAATCATAGGCTTGAATTTGAATTTGTTGTTTAATCATAGGCTTGAATTTATCAGGAGATTTCACAACTTTTAAAGTAAAATAAAACTATACATGTTTTTTCCAATGTCTCAGAGTGAGCACTACCTCTGACAGCTGAACTGCTCTAATATGAAGATCTGTACATCGATGATAACATTTAAGGATATCGTTCGTATATTCATATTCATATAGCTGGCCAACAACTTTCTGCTAGGCCTAATAATAGAGCACTACTGATCTACAGAGAGATCAGATGTAAAAACTGTGTTGGTACAAGAATAATATACCTTCTCAATACGCATTTTTCATTGACAACATAAATATGAACATCTATTTTAAAGGGCGACATTTAATTTTGGTTAGTTATTGATGTGCTACAACAAGAAACTGAAACACGTTGGATTTAGTCGAACAGAAGCATGCATTAGAAGTTAGCATAATACGGTAGTTCTAATGAAGACTTATGTGGGAGGCATAACCTGCAATGTAAAAAAAAACTTACCTTCCACATTAACTGCTATCATTTTCGCTGAATGATTCGCCATTATTATGAGACAAGTGCAGCTCAGTCATTTATTGATCGCTTGATCTGCAACTTGAATGGAAAACTTTGACAAATACAAAGTTCCTCTTTGAAGGACTCTAATGCAGTGCTTTGGTATTGCTATTATATGAATCTTCATACACTCGACTTGTCAAATAGCTATATAATGTCCTGAATATTTCATTGCGATTCTTGAAGTAAAGTAATTTCATGTTCAAAAGGCTCATGCCTCCTCGAACTTTACAAAACACTACATGTACATGTTCCGAATAGATGGGCAATGAACACAATCACGAGTGATGAATTTTGTACCGTAAGCGGATCGCTAATGGTCCATTTCGGATGGATTATCTGTGATTGACACTATTTTGAGAGCCATTTACTCGAAATCAACTGACACTTATCATGTGATCCTTTGAAATCGTACACGCAAAGCTATTCCAAGAGCATGAGCCCTTCCGCTGTTTGTGAGTGCTTTATAAACTAACTGAAACGTGTTTTCGACTTGCTTCTTACTGCAAGCAATCATAATTCTTAACTTGTGTTATTTGTTACATTGATACTTCGTTCGATTGTTGATGCGATTCACTTGTTTCAAAGAAACCATACATGTATCATTATACCCAATGTGTCGTCGAATATTCTCTTCTGAAATCTGTTTCTCCAAGCTGCTCATTGCTACTAGCATAGAGAGATGTTATTAATCGCATCAAGATGTCTGTACATACCTCATTGATTTTAATATTAATAATGACCATAATAACATTATCATTATTAGCTAGACTTATTATTATGACGAGTATTGTCGACGATTATTTTCACTGTTGTTGCAACAATAGTAATAATGATTTTATCAATAATAATGATCGTAAAACCGAGAATGGTAACAGTAACAATAACAATAATAATAGTGATAATAATTGTAATAATAATAATAGTACTAATTATAATAATGACAATAGTAATAATAATAATAATAATAATGATAATAATAATAATACCAATAATAACAATAATAATAATAATAACAACAATAATAATAATAATATTAATAATGATCATAGCGTTGAGAAACAGTGATAGTTATTGATATGCATAAGTGCAATTCAAGCGATATTTTGATTGATTAAAACGATTAATGAAGCATTGCTAACACAAACTAGTTTCTCTGTGACGGTATTTTTCGAGTGAGACTTTTTTTGTGATTAATTAAGTGGTCGTCGTCACTTAAAGAGATGACGAAATCGCCGTAAATGATCACACCAAGAAATGTGATTCTTTTTGGAATTCTCGGTGAATTCTATTAGGCATTAACAGTCCAATCCGAAAAGAAATCGATCTAAAGTAACATTTTAAATGAACGTCAATTAATAATGATCAACTCCTATTCCTGTTTATAAATACTTTAACATTATTGAGGTTACGCATTAAAGCTCTCAGAAAATACCACGAAACGAAATTAGAATTTCGGATTAGACTGTTATGAGCAACTTGGAAAACTGTCAAGTACTGTGAGATGCATTGTAGCTTAACTTTATAGGCAGATATAAAGGAATGAGATGTAATGGTAATTTTCAACCAATTTAATGCATGAAAAAATGCTGGTGGTGGGAAATATCGGCAATGAACAAATAGACAACGACCGATCTCAGTGTTTTTACGAGGCAGCCGCTCATAAAGCGTTAAGAACTGAGAGTAACAAATGAATAAGATGGTGATGAAGAGAGTGATTTCGTCTGGACAATATGCTGCAATTCATGCATGGTCTTCAAATTGCATATTGAACAATTTTCTCTAAGTTGGAACGACAGATCAAGTTCAAGTTAATTCCATCAAGTTAATTTCGGCAGTGCACCGTATTTTCTGAACAATTCTGTTATATTGTTGTAATAATTTTGTTCAAGCCCTCTCAATTCCGCTTATTTTCTTTGGAATGATCACACATGGATGACTGCTTACAGCTTAAAAGTATTGCGGTTTTCGATTCAACTTATCCAATCTGAGTATTATTGTTGTCACTTTTAATTACAAACAGAGAAATGTGAACCGTATTGGTAACATATCATATGAGGCTACCACCCTTGATGATGCACACAGCTAATGCAGTCAATCAATGCTTAAAGTTATCAATCAAAATTAAACGCTTAGTCCAATGAATCGTCTGAATCAGTTGACTGAAACTCGAAAACAGCATTTCTGTGGAAGGAGTGAGGCGGAACAAATTAATTATAAAAGATACGCAGAAATGTTTCGCAGTTATTGGCCACTCGCAGTCGTTTTCAGTTGGAAGAGGAGAATTGCAGCAATTTTACTCTTTTCTTGTTCAGCTTCTAATCATGAACGGTTCTACCAGTAAAATATTTTTTGGCAATTGTTGGGCAATAAAACTTTATTAGACACCATAATTCAGTGACTGCGTGTCAGATCGTTTTAGCGAAAAATGATTCAGTGGGTTGGGTTAGTTTCGCATCTCAAATTGACAGTGACAGATGGTAACCTGCTAAATAAAAGTTCTTCTCGTTTTCTTGGAAAAGCATCATCTCTTAACTAGGTAACAATATTTCATTAGTTGATTCAATGAGCACATCAATTTTATATTATAATGTTTCAGCATCATCATATTCTTTCTCGCTACAATTCATCGTCAAGCGATCACTGCTTATTCGGCAAGTATCTTCTTCTTGCAAAAAGCATTCAATACTGTTATCCAGTTTCAAGTGATTCATCGAAACCGTAACCTGCACTTTGTTGTATTTCATGTGACGGGGTATTGCGCTCTGATAAAGTATCAAATATTGAATGTTTTACAAAATGATTTATTTAAACATATGTGAAACGATCGCTACTAACACTTGAACAAATTAATGTCTGAACTCTTCCAAAAATCTTACTGCTTATCTGGCTATATAACAGCACAGTCGTGAATTTGTTTTTGTAATTGATGTTGAGTCGAAAGAGAAGTTGTTTTGCAGCGATTATTCACTTCAATGAGTTTCATTATGTTTTGCTAATGCGAAATGCAGCATTCATAAGCGTTACTGATCTATTTATTCGAATGTTCTCATACATGTTCTGAAAGCATTTGTAATATATTATAGCTTCACTATCGGTGCTTATCATGGCCAAAGTTGAGCCGACTTCAGTGAATACAGTGCAAAATGGTAAAAATAAGAACGACGAAATCAAGCTCAAAAAGAATATTTCGTTGTTCAGTGGATGTGCAATAATTATTGGAGTTATTGTTGGATCAGGCGTTTTTGTTAGTCCAAAAGGTGCTTTATGATTACGATATAAATAAATTATTTAGGCAAAAACCTGCTTGGTTTGCTGATCTTAATACACTAAGCTTCTTTTTCTCTTTTGAATGAGATAATCAAGGCTGTCTCAACATTTTCGTATTCTCATCCGAAAAAAAAACAGTCTAAGCCGGTATTTGATCAACTGAGAATTTGGAACCAACCGATCAAGGAATACAGACATTTGTATCGATGAACAATCATGACCCGTAGAATGTACGCACCTCAGTTCACATTGTGCTGCTGATGAGGTTCTAGTTAAAGGATCGCATCACAACAAGCACCCCAAAAAGTGCTTCATTCGGAATGCATAGATAAATAATAGTGTCTCGTAGCGCGTAGAATTTATAGACAGTAATTTCCGCATGCGAAAATGCATCAGAAGTTTTATTTTTCATTCCATCAGACAGCCGTGGCTCGTCAATTTTTACTTCAGTGTATAGCTGTGAGTTATGAAATTGCAAGCGAACCGCAGAGAATTATGCCTCAAGTTATACTGGCACTCAACCATCGAAAAATTGCTTCGAATAGTTGTTCAATTAACGCCACTGTTGATATTAAAAGAGTGGCTGCTATTTCAGGAGTCTTGATTGAATCAGGAAGCGTGGGATTGTCGCTTATAATATGGATCATTTGCGGTGCATATTCAATGCTTGGTGCATTATGCTATGCTGAATTGGGCACTACAATACCGAAGAGCGGTGGCGATTATATGTATATTCATGAAGTTTGTATTCTTTTTTGAGTCAGTTTTCTCATCGAACTTATAACTGTTTGAAAGAATAATTCAAACAACATTATACAATAACTAAGTTACCTAATTATGTTGCAATTTGTCCTCAAATAATGATTTTCATTGTGGTGAATTCTTCCATCGAAGCCAAGTAACTAGAAATCTTCGCACAGAACATTACACCTATAATCGAAAAAAATATATATTCTCATTACTGATTTCCGTGACAGCCATATGCAAGAAACCTTCAGTGCTCTGTATTCTGATGGGTGAAGTGGTTTTTAAGAAGAATATTTGAAAGTAATTCCATTGTCATCATGGTATAACTTGCATAATATGAAACGATTATAGTAAAACTGTTCAAAAATATTGCAGCGAAACTCGCCAAGCGTCTCCCTCATTAACAGTTGACACTGCAAATAGTTCAACAACCGTTTCAGGCATTTGGTGCATTTCCAGCATTTCTCTTCCTTTGGGTGTCGCTTATAATAATAAATCCAACATCTAATGCGATTGTGGCATTGACATTCGCTCAGTACACTTTAAAACCGTTGTTTTCGAGTTGTGAAGTACCAGACGATGCAGTTCGCTTACTGGCTGCTTGTATTATATGTATGTTCGCTTGCAAAAACATTTTTGTAATCATTACTCTTTTCGGTCTAGTCTCGCGATCAAACATCTAAGAATATAGATGAGAGTTTGTTTGAGAGAAAAGTGAAAATCTTCGCCGATTAAGTGAAGAACTTGTGACGGTTTTTCTTTTGAACGGGTTCAAAAATATTCCAGTGCGTTGAACAACTCTCATTTCATCATCAGCATTTTTGATCATGACAACTCAAGATTTATTTCATTTGTTCACTAACAATCACTGTAGGCCGGCAACTCACTGTATTTGTTTTGTGAATTGAGAACATGCGAACGAAGTTAACGGTAAAATGCTTGGAAATGATCATTTTAAACAGATCACTGCATTTAAATGTGATTGTCATGGATTTAATCGTTCTCGATAATGGTTACGACGTGAAATATTTGACTGATTTGAACTGACAAACTTAAGGTCGGCAAACTGAGAGTAAACTCCACAACGTCACGAGCAATCACTTTCATTCTTTCAGTACTACTAACGTTCGTTAATTGCTATAATGTTAAATGGGCGACAAATACCCAAGATGTGTTCACGGTCGCAAAAGTTCTGGCTCTGTGCTTCATTATCATTGCTGGAATTGTTTGGCTGATAATGGGTGAATTAAGCAACATCTTTCCATCATGAATTTTCCTAATTTCCGCAAAGCAACAGTGCATTTCTTGACACAAGAATGAACGAAAATAAAACTAATTGAGCTTTGATATTGGTGAGAAACACCACTGAAATCATTGTTTTTGCTAATACTCGTCTCGAAATGAAGACATCTCAGCTGTAACTTTTATCTCAATATTATAATCTGAAGATGCGTTTAGAAAAGAACTAGTTTATCGATATTTTTTCAGGCAATACTGAATATTTGGAAAAAGATCAGTTGTTTGCTGGATCAAACACGGATTTAGGCCATCTTGCATTAGCTTTCTATTCAGCCGTTTTCTCTTTCAATGGATGGTAATTTGTTATTTTTTCCTTGGAAGTTTGCAAATATTCACCTAAAACATTCAAAGCTTGAAATATTCATTTCTTATTCGGCAAAAATGACGTCACGCTTAATTTCAGGAACTACCTAAATTTTGTCGTGGAGGAACTACATGATCCATACAGGTTGTTTAGTTCATGTGATTCGATCAAGTTTTCAAATTTTTGCCATTTTTGCCATTGATTCTCACAAATTCAATTCACAGCAACAGATTTTTGGAATTGAGACAACACATCAGATATAAGGAGGTGAACTACTTTTAGTTGCTCATAACTGTTATTCTGTTCACGCAGTCACGAGTGCGAAATACTCACATGAAAATACTCACTCAGCTTTTATAGCGGCATGCCCAAGATCACTGACAGCATTCATCAAATTAAAGTCACTCGCATAAGCAAGAAGGTCGTGATACCTTCGTTCTGTGGTGTTGCAATGATATGCAAAAGAAAACCGAGGAAATATATTCTGAGTAAATAAACCATTGATTCCTTCAGTTAGAACATCACGCAATTCCTTGAGTTAGAATTTCCAACTTCTATGAATAATAATCGCTATGAAAATATGTCCATATGGGTAATGAACACTTTCATTTAAAAAAGGATACATTTACTGAAAATTCGTCGTTTCAAATTCATTCATTTATGTTTTAGTCATTCGTTTTCAAAAACCGAGAAATGAATCTATGCGCTCGTGGTACTCGTAGTATCTTGGGAAGCATCCCTACACGTGAATATATCCTGGCTGTCAAGACGACAAAAGTATCATCTTCAGATGAAGCTTCTCTGAAAGTTCTAAAGCAGTGGTTCTCATAGGGGTGGAATTACCCATTTTGAGTAATTTGGAGGTGTGAAGGGGTAATGGCAGGCAGTTTCAAGTTCGGATTTCATGAAGACAGATGATTCCAAACTCTATTATCGTTAGCTGCGCGGAAAGAAGAATGCCAAGGAAGGAAGAATGTGATATTAGTGATATTGGTAATAACAGAGAGGCATAAACTCGTAATGAGTTTGATTTGCTGATTAAATAAATAAAGGGGTAATGGAGGGGGTCGAGAAATTAGTATTTAGTGCAGTTGTTATGTTTTGACTGAACGACATTGTTAAGATGTTATGTAAATCGCGAATACAATTTGCTTAGTTGATGACAACACTCTTCATTCTTGTATTTTCTAAGTATCATTAGGTGGTCCGGGCCAAACACGGTTTTCATTCGATTTAACATGGTTTTCATTCTTTTCCTTGCTGTTATAATCGCTCTCATAGCTATTATCACCAAAAGTGTTCTCTTCTGCTAATTTCTCATTCATTTCACTCAACAATTAAAACCAAATTCTCATTC